CCCTGTGTGCTTCTTAGAATCAACCAGTTCTAGTACAAAAATATGTTTATGAAAACTTGTCTTATAATGGTGAATAATTAGAAAACCAAAAGTAATGCATTCCATAGGATAGTATTCGGGCATTATATACATCGAGCTTACACTTCTAGGCCAAGATGGAGTAACAGAGACCAGATTTACCTTCTCACCTGAAACAACCAAAAAATTTTAAAACACAACAAAATTCCATGGAAGAGCAGTTTTCAAGACATTGGACATCAGGCAATAAAGGACAGTGATCCCTAAGAGACAAGAAGTAAACAAGATGAGCCCTGTGATTGCCCAATCTTACTGACTTGAGAGAGTTTCCAGGCCACAGCACAGGAAAGGGTAACTGAGGCAAAGCAGGCAGACTCCTTGAATTGAGGAGACAGAACTGAAAGTCTGGGGAAACCAAGGCACCTAAAGTTCATAGGAAAGATTACTGAAGAAGAGAGAGCTGTATAGAGAGAGAACCCCAGAGATCTATAGGGAGTCCTCTTCAAGTATTATTCTGAATACTGATCATCACATTTATGAGAAGAAACTACCCAGAGCTAAGGAAAGACCATCCAAAAGGATTAGAGAGAAATGCCCAACACTGACTGCCTGTTCCCACCCACCAGACTGGCAAAACCAATTTGTGGGTCATTGTGTAGAGTGCTCAGGAAGGTCTTGCCTCCTTAATGGGAGATAATTAGCCCTAGATGGAGAATTACTCCACACCCACCTAACAAATCATGAAAGCAAGACCCAAGGATAAAACTATTCCTAAGTAACTGAATTACATCCCAGAAAAAAAGCTTAAGAATATTTACAGAAATTAAAAAACACCAAGCAGGCCCTAGCTAGTTTGACTCAGGGGTTAGAGCATCACCCTGTGGACTGAAGGGTCTCATTCGATTCCAGTCAAGGGAATGTACCTCGGTTACAGGCTCCATCCCTGGCCCTGGTCAGGGCGTGTGCAGGAGGCAACGAATCAATGTGTCTCTCTCACATTGATGTTCTCTCTCTCCCTCTCTCTCCCTCTCTCTCCCTCTCTCTTCCTTTCTCCTCTTTCCTCCTCTCTCTCCTCTCAATAAAATTTATAATATCTGGTATCTAATCAGAGGTTACGAGGCATGTTAAGAAGCACAAAAATGTGACCTATAAAGTGGAGAATAGTCCATCAAAACTGGCACAAAACTGACAAATATATTCGAATTAGCAAAAAAATGTACTGTGGGATTAATGGCAGATTAGATATTTCAAAAGAAGAGATTAGTGGATCGAAGACATAGCAATAAAAATTATCGAAAACAAAACAGAGAGAAAAAGAATTTTAATAGTCAATAACAGTGCAGTAACAGTATATGGTACCAGGTAGGTACTAGAAATATTTTGGGGGGGGTAACACTATGTAAAGTATATGATTATCTAACCACTATGCTGTACACCTGAAACTAATACGAAATAATATTAAATATAAACTTTAATTGAAAGATAAATTTTTTAAACTGAAAGATAGTAAAGTTGAGTTGTTTCAAGGTTCATACTAAAAAAATAAAATAAAATAAATTTTTTAAAATAATTTTAAAAACTAAAAGAGTATTACTGAGCTGTGAGACTTCAAGCAGGTTAATTTAAAGAAAAAGATATTTGAAGAAATAATTGCTGAAAACATTCCAAACTTGATGAAAACCATAAATCTGTAGTTACAAGAACCACAGTGAACTCCAAGCACAAATACAAAGAAAACAGCACCAAGATGCATCATAATCAAATTGCTTAGAATCCATGATAAATAGGTCTTAAAAACAGTCAGAGATTTAAAAAGAAAAAAAAGAAGTGTTACTTACAGGGGAACAAAGATAAGGATGATATTAGATTCCTTATCAGAAACAATACAATTAAGAAGAACAATACCTTTAAAGTACTGAAAGTTATTATTAAAAAAACACAAACTTTCAATTTACAGTTCTGAATCCAGCAAAGGTATCTTTCAAAAATAAAAGTAAAATAAAAACATCTTCAGCTATACCAAAACAAATAATTCAGTAGACCTACAGTATAAAAGAAATGTTAAAGGATATCCTTATTATTTAAATCTCTTTAAAAGATAATTGACAGTTTAAACAAAAATAATGGCAATATGTTTGGGGTTTATAACATATGTAAAAGTAAAATATATAACAACAGTAGCACAAAGGTCAAAGGAAGGAAGTGGAAGTATACGGTCATAAGGTTCTTATACTATTTGAGGTGTGGTATAATGTCATTTGAAGGTAGACTGTGGTAAGTACAAAATGTATGCTATAAACCCTAAAGCAATCACTAATGCAGCAAAGTAGAATTCTAGTTAATAAGACAACACAGGAGAGAAAATAAAATAAAAATAAATCCAAAAGAAGACAGAAAAAGAGGGAAAAGGGAACAAAGAACAGATGGAACAAATAGAAATCAAATAACAAGAAAATATATTTATAACAGTGTATCATTAATCATATTAAATGTAAATAATCTAAGTTCCCCCAATTAACAAGCAGTAATTGTCAGATTGGGGGTGGGGGAAACAAGAACCAGTTATATATTGCCTGTAAGAAATGCTTTATACATAAAGACAAATAGTTTCAAAGTAAAAGGATGGGAAAAGATATACCATGATGACACTAATCAAAAGGAAGCTTGAATAGCTATATTAATATCAAAGTATATTCTCAAGCCACATTGGGATTAAATTAGAAATGAAGAACAAAAAGATCTCTGGGAAAATCCCCAAGCACTTGAAAACTAAATAACACAATTGTAAATAGCACATCAAACAGAGATGAAATCAAAAGGGAAATTAAAAGGTATTTTGAAGTGAATTAAATTGAAACCACAACATACCAGCATTTGTGGTGTGCTGCTAAAGTAGTACCTAGGGAGAAATGCACTAAACATCTATATTAGAAAAAAAGAAATGTCTTAAATCAATGACCTCAACTAAAACAAAACAAAAAACAAAAAAACTCAAAGTGAGTGAAAGAAAATAAATAATGAAGATCAGTGTGGAAATCAATGAAATAGAAAACAATAGAGAAAAATCAATGAAACAGACTTTTTCTTTGAGAAGATCAGACTGATCAAGGGAGAAAAGGCACCAATATCATGCATTAGAGAAGCAACATTGCTACAAACTCTACAGACATAAAAAGGATAATGAGGAAATATGATACACAACTTCATGCCAATAAATTCAGCAACTTAGATGAAATGTATAAATTCCTTAGAAGACAGAAACTACCAAAACTCACTTAAGAATGAATAGCCTGAGTCACCCTATACTATTTAAAAATTGAATTCTGTAGGTAAAAACCATGCCTTAAAGAAAACTCCAGGCAAGATTGTTTCACTGGTGAATTTTACCAAACATATAATAAAGAAATAACACCAATTCTACACAAACACTTCCCAAAACATTGAAAAGGAGGGACTTCTTCCCAACTTTTTTATTATTATTATTATTATTATTATTATTATTATTATTATTATTAAGCTAGCATTACCCTGATACCCAAACCAGATAAAGACATTAAAAGAAAACTCCAGGCTGATAACCCTGTTGAATATAGATGCAAAAATTCTAAACAAGTCCATATCTTTTTTCCTTTTTATTGAATTTATTGGGGTGACACTGGTTAACAAAATTATACAGGTTTCAGGTGCATAGTTCTACAACACATCATCTGGACGAAGGAAACCTTACCCCTTGGGAAGCATGGATGGACCTGGAGCACATTATGCTCAGTGAAATAAGCCAGTCAGAGAAAGACAACTACCATATGATTTCTGTGGAATCTAATGAACAAATCTATATCTTTTTAAAATTTTTTTATTTTTTATTTATTTTATATCCTTGCCCGAAGACATGCTGAGAGAGAGAAAGAGAGAAAGAGATTGAGATTGATTGGTCCCCCTCCATACACTTCCCAACAGGATCAAACCCGTAACCCAGGCATGTCCCCTGACCTGGAATCGAACCTGCAACCCTTTGGGCCAGGGGTTGATGCTCAACCAGCTGAACCACTCCTGCTGGACAACAAAGCCATATCTTAAGAATAAGAGTGAGGCATAACCAAGTGGGGACTAACCCAGGAATACAGTTTGATTTATAATAGCCAAAAGCTAGAAACAATTTCATAGGTGAATGGATGAACAAAATGGTATATCCATACAATAGAATATACATGCAACGATGATTGAATCTCACTTTGCGAGTGGGGGGGAAAGCAACCAAACTTTATTTTGGGCGAAGGGTACACAACTCAGTATGCAGATGATATCTGTTGAGTTGTACACTTGAAACCTGTATGGTGTCGTTAACCAATGCCACCCCAATAAATTCCATTGAAAATAAATAAATATATAACATTTTGAAAATAAATAAAAAGAATTTTATCCATTCAATCTTTTTAAAAAAAAGTATATACTGTATTAGTTCATTTGTAAAAAAGTGCAAACTAATCTATAGCCAGCGAAAGCATATCAGTAGGTGCTTGGGGATGGGGGCAGGGCATGGAGGGATGGGGGCAGATTACCAGCAGGCATGAGGAAACTTCTGGGGCTGATGGATGTCTTCACTCTCCTGATTGTGGTGATGTTTTCACACATACAGACATATATCATCAAACTTATCATTGTACACTTTAAATAAGTTTATGTCGATTATACATCAGTCACAACTTTTTAAGAAATTAACAACATGAAAAATAAAGCAACATGGAAAATATAATTAGAAGATTAAAAAGCGGTATATAAAATATATCTATACTATATAGCAATCAAAATATCAAAAATAATTTTGTCATGGCAAGGTGGAGTAATGGATGGTTTTCTCCTCTGTTTTCCATATTTTCTTTAATGTTTTTCTAACTCTTATAATTAAAAAATTATCTACAGCAAAATCACAAATACAAAAACAAGTACCATCTCATAGTAATTTTATTTTTAACTTTTTACAGGGAATAACTTTAAAAATGAATGAGCTAAATCATTGTATTGTTGCAAGAATTATGCATGGGGGCATGATTCACAGGCAAGGTAAGTTTATATATGATTCTTTTTTTCCTTTCTTAACTTTTTTCCTGTAGCCTAGTGGAGAAAGTGTTTTCATGAGCCATATAAAATATCTGTTAAATATACGGTCCATATAAATGATCCGTTTATCTTTTGGTTTTAATCGCTGTTGGCCTCCATTTGTTCTTATTCACCTACACATGCTCCAGCCTGTAGATAATGGAAAGAGAGTGTTTCTGGAGCATCTGTGAATCACTGTTCAGATCCTGACTTATTAGAGGCCATGAAAGATAAAGCGAAGTATCCTAGTGGGCCACGGGATGTATGGAAGGCGTCTATTCTGGAGTATAAGATATATATTTGAAAAATTAAATGACAGTTCAAGAATTGCTCTCTCATTCTTTCAGGAATGAGATATATTATATATAAATTAGGAAATTAGAGTTTAATAAATAACAACATAAAAAGTCAATGGTAAGATCAGACTGATAGTTGCCAGAAAGAGAGGAGTTGGGGACTGGGGGAAAAAGGTGAAAGGATTAAGTACAAATCTGTAGTCACAAAATAGTCACGGGCTATAAGTACAGCACAGGGAGTATAGTCAGTAATATTGTATTAACTGTGTATGATGCCAGGCGAGTCCTGGAAATATCAGGGGGAACACTTTAAAGTATATGATTGACTAACCACTATGCTGCACACCTGAAACTAATACAAAATAATATTGAACATAAACTGTAATAGAAAAATTAAAAAATTTTTAAATTTCAATGGTAAAATAAGAGAGATCAAATTTATGATTAAGTTCTTAATACCTGCTAGAGTAGAGTACAGTCATTCGGAGGAGGGAGTTCAATAAAGACTGAAGTAAACAAAGAATGACCTTTTGAGAAAGTGGATTTTTGTTGACCTAGGACATGTAGATTTAGGCTCATTCTTTGAAAGGGCTGAGTTATATGCACTAGTACTTAGAGCCTGATCCAAAAATCATTCTCCTGTCCAAAAATTAAACTTCCTTTCTTTGATATCAGGTTATTTTTGTGCTTAACACCTTCTTTCCTTAACCCCAGAGAGCAAGAAGTAACACTGTAAGCATTGTAGGGCCTTCCTGTCCTCTTTAGCTGTGTACAGAGATGGTGTCTGGCATTAATTACTGTTGCCTTCAGGGGAATCTTTGCAGACTTAGGGAGTGGACAACACTCGCACAGGAAAAACGTTCGGTTTTAGATTCCAGTATGATTTTTTTGTTATTTTTAATCATTTGCTGAAAATTCAGTAAAGTCACAATATCATCATTTCTTTAATCTCTTTTTCTTAGATAACTGCACTGGTTAGGATAGCTTTCCAGTGTTTCCCCACAAAGACCAATGTTTACTGTAGATTTTTTATTAGGGCTGAGGAAGTTCCCTTGTATTTTTAGTTGCTGAGCACTTTAATTATGATTGGGGTCTGAATTTTATCAAGTGCTGTTTCTGTATCTGTTGAGATGAGCATTTGATTATTCCTTTTATCTATTAACGTGGTGAATGACTTTTAAAGATTTTCTCATGATAAACCCCCCCTTGCATTTCTCAGTTAAACCCAGCTTAGTCATTGTGTATTAACTTTTATATGTACTGCTCAATTCTATGTAGTAATGTCTTGTTTAGGATTTTATATTTTGCAATTATGACTGAGACTGGCCTGTAGTTAATTTTCCTTCCTTGTGTTTCTCTGTCTGGTTTTATTGTCAAAGTTACATTGGCTTCATAGAATGACTTAGAGAGCCTTTTCTCTTCGTGAGTTCCCTGAAAGACTTTGTATAATATTGGAATGATTCATACCATGACAGTTTAGTAGAACTTGCCTATAAAACTATCAGGGCCCAGTGTTTTGTTTTTGGTTTTGGTTTTTTGGTTTTTTTTAGGAAAGATATTTTTTTTTTTTTTTACAACATTCATAGGGCTATTCAGGCTTTCTATATCTTGAGTGAGTTTTGGTAAATTACATTTTCCTTAAAATTTTTAATTTTTTTTAAAATTATTGCAGTAAGCTTCTTTATAGTGTTCTCTTATCTTTATTCTCTGCTGGCTTTGTAATTGTCACCTCATTCATTCCTAATATTGCTTATTTGTGCCTTGTCCTTTTTCTCTTGACTGGCTTTGCCAGAGGTTTGTTCAAAAACCCAGTTTGGGTTCTGTTAATTGTATGTTTATTTTCTATTTCATTGTTTTATGACCTAATTTTTATTATCTTCTTCCTTCTTTCTATCAATTTTATCTAACTTTTTAAATTAGATGCTTAGTTTACTTATTCTAGTCTTTCTTCATTTCTAATATATGTATTTAATACTAAGCTCTACCTCTAAATTCTGTTTTATCTTTATCCCACCAGTTGTTTTTGTTTTTGTTTTTGTTTAACATATCTTTATTGATTTCAGAGAAAGGAAGGGAGAGGAGGAGAGAGAGATAGAAACATCAATGATGAGAGAGTCATTGATCGGCTGCCTCCTGCACGCCCTCTGCTGGGGATCGAGCCCGCAACCCGGGCATGTGTCCTGCCCGGGAATCAAACCTCGACCTCCTGGGTCCTAGGTTGATGTTCAACTGCTGAGCCATGCCCGGCTAGGCCCACCACTTTTGATATTAAGCATTTTTATTGTAATTCATTTCTAAGTATTTTTAAATTTCTATTATGATATTTTTCATTGACCCATAAGTTATTTAGAAGTGTTTTCTTACCCACATTTAAGAGGATTTTCTGTTTATCTTTTTATAATTTACTTCTAGCTTAATTGCACTGTGGTCAGAAAATGTGGTCTGTATGACACCATTTCTTTGAGGTTTGTTGAGACATACTATTTAGAAATTAGGAAATTAGAGTTTGATAAATAACATAAAAAGTCAATGGTAAGATCAGACTGATGGTTGCCAGATGGGAGGAGGGTTGGGGGGCTGGGTGAAAAAGATGAAGAGATTAAGAGGTAAAAATTGGTAGCACTTTAATCATTTTTGTAAATGGTCCATGTGTACTTAAGAAGAATATTTCTTCTTTAATTGTATGTAGAGTTCTCTATATGATGGTTGCCTTAGGTTAATTTTTTTGTTCAAATCTTCTGTATCTTGACTTATTTTTTTGTCTGCTTGACCTATCGATAATTGTTAAAATATCTCATCATAGTAGTGTTTTTTTTATTTCTACCTATAGATCTCTCCATTTGGGCTTTATATATTTATATATTTATTAGGTGAATAGAAGTGCCTGGTAAGCATTATCCTTAATAATACTTTCTACTTAAAATTTATTTTATCTAATATTAATATAGTTACTCCAGCTTTATTTTAGTTTTTAATACCATGTCTTCTTTCGTCCTTTTACTTCCAACCACTCTGTGCTTGTATATCTCTTCCAAACATTTCTAAAGCTAGGTTTTTCATTTTTTAATGCATTCTGATGATCACTATCTTTTCATGGGCAAGGTTAGTCCATTAATATTTATTGTGATGATTACTGTCATCTTGCCTTTTTATTTATGTGTATTCCATTTTCTATTTGGTCTCCTTGTTCATTTTTTATTTCATTTGTTCCCCTGGTAGTATAGAATTTCAGTACCCTACTTCTATTTTTTAGATAGTTACCTTGAAATTTTATTATATGTATTGAACTTTAAATATACTAAAGAAAAAGTGTCTTAATCCTGCTCCCAAAGAATATAAAGACAATGAAACACTAAATTTCATCACCTAACATATATTATTCCTTTCCAGTTCTATCCTGTTTTAAATCCACAAATTTGAAATTACTATTAAAATATATCACCATTTTTGTTTGGATTTACATAAATGTTTATGCCTTTTTTGTTCACCATTCCTTCTTGCATCTCAGACCATCCTTTGGGGAGCATTTTCTTTCTTCCTAAAGTACATCCTCAGAAGTTCCTTTACTGCTTGTCTCTTGTTGATAAACACTCTTAGGTGGTGTTTATCTGTAAATATTTTACTTTAGCCTCAGTACTGAAGATTACTTTTTCTGCTAGCCCAAATTTAGGTTGATGGTAACCATTCTGTTATCTTTTGGCATCCATTGTTTGATATTGAGAAATCTGATGTCACTACAATTGTCCTTGCTTTGTAGGTGATATCTCCTTTCTCTCTGGATGTTTTAAGAGCATTGTCTTTGATTTTCGGTAGTTTCACTACCTCCCAGCATGGATTTCTTTTTATTTATCCTGTTTGGGACACATTATTCTCCCTGGATCTGTGTAATCATGTTTTCATCAGTTCAAGAAAATTTGCAACCATTATTTCTTCAAATATTGCCTCTTCTTCATTCTTTCTGTTCTTGCCTTCTAAACTTTAGGTAGAGGTATGTTAAACATTCCCTCCACATCTCTTAATATCTTTTTTCTATTTTTTATTTCTTGTTTCCTATTTCCTTATTTTGTTATTTCTCTGACCTGAAGTCTAGATAATTTATTTGTTTATATCTTCCAGTTCACTGAAACTCTCTTCAGCCATATCTGAACTCCTGTTCAGCTCATCCATTTATTGGCTTATATCACCAGTTATATTTTTCTTTTCTAGAAGTACTAGACATTTGTTATACTTATTTTCAGATCTGTCCGTTCACACCTGATAATCTCTTATTGCATGCTCACCCTTGCAACTGGGTCATTACTTTTTTCTAATATTTAATATATAGCTATTTTATATTTTGCATCTGACCATTCCAGTATCTATCCTCCTTGAGGACCTAAATCTGTTTTTCCTGTTTCTTATGGCTCGCATAGTAGTTTGGCCTTATTGTATGTTTGGTGATCTTTGATTTTTGAGCTCATTGCTTGTCTAATCAATGGAAGTCCTATGAGTGCCACTGATCTGGGCCTTGGCTTCCTACAGAATCCCAGGTTCCACCTCTAACTGTCTGTTAGCCCAGTGCTCAGAATCCAGCCAGCAGGCATTGCTACTATGGCATTCACCCTTCCCACTATTTCATTCCACCTTTAGTTTGCCACCACTTTGGATCAAGCTCACAAGGTTCTTTTGTGTGAAGGCGAGAGTGGGGATGGAAGTAGGAAGTATTCTTAGGGATTTGCACTCCATTTATGAGACTAGTAACACTTCAAGAGGTTTGTCCTAGGCAAGATATAGCTGTGAGAAATTTTTTAAGTGACCAGTCAGCCATGTTGGGCACAAAAGTCCCCAGCTAGAATTATTGTTAATTCATGGCTGCACTAGTTTCATCTGTACTTGCCCAACTGCTCACTCCCCTGGATTACTTTGAAGCAAATCCCAGGCATCTGATTTTATTTATATGCATTTTAGAATGTGCCTCTAAAAGATACTGTGGGCTTTTTGTAACATCAAGTCAGTACGTAAACAAATGTGCACAATTTATAAATGAGGCAAAACTTTATATAACATTGTATTTATGCATTGGTTCTTGGTCACTTTTTCCAGTTAAAGTATTACAGGATGCTGAAATGCCAAATTACTATAAAAATATTGCAGTGTGTCTAATAGAAGTTTAGTGTTACATAGGTATTATCATATCACAATTCTTTGAAAATCAAAGCCTTTGTATCATATTTGTTAGATAATAATGATAAAAATTACAGGAAACACTTAAATGGTACTTACTTTACTATGTGCCAAGAACGGGTCTGAGCCCTCTACATGTATTAAACTCATTTAATCCTCACAACAGTGCTATGAGATAGGTACTTTTCATAAATGTGAAAACTGAGACACGGAGAGTTTCAGAAACTTACCTGGGCCCTTAAAGCTAGTAAGTGATAAAGCTGGGATTTGAACCCAGACAGGCTGGATATAGAAACTGTACTCTGAAACCACTATACGTACTGCCTCTCAGAAAAATGAGCAGATTTCCATAGCCATCTTTCAAAACTGTCTTCCATTGTAGATGTATCTGTTTTAGAGTTTACTTCATGAGCCAAACTTGTACCTGTTTCTGAAATACTGGCCCTCAGTATTTAGCTTAATTTTTAAAAATCACTTACATTGCTGCCTTTGGGTTTTATTATTATAAAAGTATATGTAATTTCATGTTTATAATTTCCTATAATTTCTTAGGTACACTTCATGTCGGTGATGAAATTCGAGAAATCAATGGCATCAGTGTGGCTAACCAAACAGTTGAACAGCTGCAAAAAATGCTTGTGAGTAGATGGAAGTTTCTTTTCTTTGTCTAAGGTTGACTCTCAGTTTCTTAGCTTTCTTTTTATTGCACAAATAAGGGGTATTCTTTTGCAATCAAGGTATTGCCGGTACCATCATGTGTGTGACTTGAACTTACACAACATTCATGAAAACTGACAACTGGGAAAATGTTTACATGCAACAGAGTTTGGAACGGTTTTGCCTGTCTTTAGCAGTGCGGGCTTTCACGCTCTCCTTTCATCCTCTATCTTCTGTTTTTATATCGAACAGATGTTTAAGAAAACCTTTCCAGCTGTGCATAACTGTGAACTAGTTTCTTGCTGACCTCAACCCTGCTGACATCAGCAGTGTCAGAAACCTCTTGCCCGTTTAGCTGAGTCACAGCCAGCTCTATTGGATGTCTCTACAGCAGAGAGGGGAGGAAGGTTATAGAAGACCAGGCCATTTCTGACCATACATTTCTAAAACCTGTGTTCATATTAGGCTTTGGATTTTTAAAGGGGTGGGAGAGGGAGCACAAAGGCAAGCCGAGGGAAACGTTCTGGCCTCTGATCCCAGACCCTCTTCCCGCCGCAACAGAGCGGCCTCCCCTGTACGAATGTCTATTAAGTGCGACATAAGCGCACAGACTTCCCCATAGTCAAAACGAGGTCAAATTATGAAACACAAAGCAAAAATTTTATGAAGCGTACCATCACAACGTAGCCTACCAACTATCATTTTTGTGCATTTGCTTGTTCTGTTGTCCAGTTGAGCTTCGATTCCCTTTTGAAAGGCATGTCGCTCAGAGCTGCTGTATGCATGCCCACGAAGAGGTGACCGTGAGAGGCCCGCTGCAGCGCTGCTGCAGGGACAGGGCAGCCGGCCTTGACCCTGCAGGCTTCTCCCAGGCAGGAGCAACTCAGCTGTTACTAGGAACAGGCCCTGCTTGGTAACTGAGTTTCGTTTTAGGCCCAGGTGCTCTCGGCTGGCTCACATTCATTGCCCCCAGACGTTTTCAGTGGCTTCTTACATGCTTGTCGCGCGGCGTCGGTTTGTTAAGAAAGCCGTCTTTTCTTCCTGCAGCGGGAAATGCGGGGGAGTATCACCTTCAAGATCGTGCCAAGTTACCGCACTCAGTCATCGTCCTGTGAGGTAATGGCTTTAGCCAAACCCCCTGCCTCCTCTGGGTTCTTAACTAACTGTCTGCTCATGGCTGAATGTTTTGGCTTTCCGGGAAATTGTTTCTGCCTGTGCTGTTGATCACTGCACACCAATTTTACAACAAAGATAACGGAACAGAGTAGGTCCCATCCACCTGCTCAGCCCTACTTCCGTGGGGACCTCCTTAGCGCTTGAACTCTGCAGGCCGGAATGGA